TAGCAGAAAATAAATTTTCACTCACTTGGTTTTTCAATTGCTTCCCACAAGATTAGGTTAACAGTGTCTCCAGAAATTATATCCATAGCTTAATAAATTTTAAGCTTCTTTCAGAACCAAAAGTGTAGAGGAGTTATTTGGATCTGTGTATAATCTGAATGACAAATTATATATAGTTTGGGCCACGGTGTCACTTACAACTTCAAGGGGTCTAAGAATCAGCAGAGGAATGCAGTCCTTTCATACGTCTCTGCCTGGTCTTTCCATTTTGGGTAGTATGTTACTGGAAGCTTAGAAAGAAAATGAGGGAGTTTCAGAAAGGAACAGAAAGGGCTGATGACTGGAAAGGATGATTGAAACCCAAAATCTGCAGTTGATTAGGACATAGTCATGGAAAGGAAGCATACATGTAAATAATAGGGTATGTTACTAAAATCCACAAAAAAAATAGAATGAGGCAAAATATCTCTAGTGTCCTGATGATCCATTTGACACTACTTTGAATAAGTCTCCCAACGGAGATGGTCGAGATTACTAATCCTTAACACATGGACCAAGAAGTAAGAATTCTGTTTATCCTAGCAAGTAACTTTGGCCCATAAGGAGGGAGTAGAGACTCTTTAGTAGAGGGACATTTTAGTGCATGATTTATCTGATTTTGCGCCAAGAGCTTTTTTGAGAGACTATTCAAAGCTGTCTAACTTTCATTGTTGGATATTGATAGTTGCTATATTTCTTTTTAATAACTGATTTAGGCTCTTTCTGCTATGTCTCTTCTGTTGCTAAATTTCTTAAGATTAAAAAAGGGTGTTTAAAGTAAAACTATTAATGAGACAAAAGCTTTATTCTGTAAGTAGGATAATACTTCTTTTGTGACCTTTTTCTTTTCCCACCAAAAGTGAGAAGTGAATGCCTTGCCTTTGTGCATCCCATTTCTAATGGAGGACAAGAAGATATTTTCTTCAAAGGCTGATTTCCACAATTTTTGGCTGAACGCTTTTTGTCAAGTGTATATTCCCTTCTCTAGGCCTTTCTATATAGAGCCCACAAACATCGTCAATGTGAATAATGCCATTCAGAGGGTTAGCGACCATGCCTCTGCCATGAACAAGAGAATTCATTACTACAGCCGGCTCACCACTCCTGCAGACAAGGCACTGGTAAGAGGCAAAGCATTACTAATTGTCTAAAGTTAAATTGAAATGAATAGTGAGCAGCATAAGCCTGGGTAACTCCCAGTGATTGAACTTTTTGCTGGCCGTATTCCAAGGACAGCATCATGCAAAGGCAAAGATAGTATAATAATTAATACATGTCCTACATCTCAGGCTAGTTCATTCTTATCTAGCCTGGCATAGAGAGATTTGAAACAATCTCTCTGTGTTGACAACAACCTGGAGATGTTTTT